TTAACACCATTTACACAACCAACATTCCCAAAGAGCCTGTGGACTCGGCATGGACCAACCATGGTTGTTTTAGTGTACCTGTGAATATTATAAAAAAAACTATGCCATCTAATAGAGTTTTACAATTACCAGATGTCCTCATCACCACTCTATCCTAACTCTGTCATGCTTTCTACCCTTTACACATCCCACTGCCAGCAGTACTTAATGGTAATCTTGCTTATCAGTCAATTGATAGCCTTAGTGATGGGGCAGAGCTGGCTTAATGCAGACTAAAAAAAAATTCAAAACATTTTAAACTTTCCTAAAGAGTAATTAATCTCATGCCTCTCAAGAGAGAGCCTCTTGGAGAGCATGACTTAACGGAGTGCCTGACATAAGCATTTATAAGACCCTATAAAAGTCTCGACTAAGTTAAGAGACATTCCTTGTCCACAATTAAAATGCCTCTGATCCAGTTCCAGACTTTACACAGCTATGGCGTATTGCGTGACATTTAGTGCTTGAGAAGACGAGAAGCGCTAACATTCATGTCCGAAAATGTTACTTAAAGGTTACAAAATAATAAAATATCGAATGCTGAGGAGCTGTCGCGTACGCCTCTAAAAGGGCAGGATCGTTTTTTATGTCATCTTGTTCGACTAATTCCACTTTCCATTGATCACCGCACAACTCAAGAAGTTTATCTTCAGGAAGATGACTGATCCATTCGCCTTCGTTCTTCCCCGATTCATGGCGAAAAGTCATCACAAAATATCGTCCGTCAGATTGTAAAGATGACAATAAAACGTCCACGTACTGTTTCAGACGAGCTTCGTCCATCATTGTGATCACAGTGCACGCTCCGCGATCCCAAATGCAATCAAACTTGTTGTGATAAACCTCGCGTGACAAATCAAATATACTGCATTCTATTAGAGTAAGGTCCTTGTTCTTGGCCTTGAACAAGTTGATAGTACCCCCGGCTGAAGTTTGCGCGGTGTTTACGTCGTATAGTAATTTGTTCTCCTCAAAGAACGTTTCAATTGCTTTTCGGATCATTTCCACGCCAACAACAGTGTGGCCTTGATCTGCCAACCAAATCATGTCCAGCGACTTTCCACATAGAGGAACAAGAATCCTACGATTCCTCCGGCCCGATGTGAATTCATCGTAATGTTTTATCAACATGGGACTGACATATTTTCGGTGCCAAGCGGGATTTCCGTCGTTCCATTCTGTCTCCCAAGTTTCCTTTCTCTCCAATTTCAGGATTTTTCCTGCCAGACGTGATGAAGTGGGTTGCATACGTTTGACGTGAGCCGAAAGTACGGATTGCAGTTTCTGATATACCCTACGAAGCATTTACCCTTTGAATTACTTCCTTGGCTGATGAGTAATAAACCTTTATGTCTTGCAATCTATGGCGCAGAAGTTACTAGGCAGCATAGGAGAGAAGATTAGAAAACAGTTTTCAGAGACCGCTATACTTTTGGTCAGCACCATCATAGCAACAATTCATTCGACGAATCTGGCGGCCATGTTGCATGGCAGATACATCGACCAGCGTGTAGTTGTTTGACTTCTCTCACGTGTGACTATTTTTTTTCACCCATTTTAAGAGGCAATCTTATAGAAAATGGATGCAGTTTTAGCAAACGAAGCTGATCTAAATTCCATTGTCAAAGAATATCTGGATTATCTGGGATATTCGAGGACATCGTCTGCATATGAAGATGAGTTAAATTCGCTAGGAAAACAGTTAAATCAGCTAATCACACCAAGAAATGACTCGCAGAAAACTGAAATTCAGGATAAATTGTTGTCAGCCTTTGCTGATGGAAGATACACAGAGTTTTTCAGAATATGGGAGGATTGTATCCCCGACAATGTTCAAGAAACTGACCGTGTCTGCCAGAAGCTGGTCTTCAACATAAATATTTACTTCGCACTCTTTCCCATTCTTCACGGTAACCACAACAAGCGAGAACTGGATCGATCAATGCAAATTTTCAAGTCGTATCTTGAAACTAAAGGAGCTGCTTTAAGCCAGACAACAGAGTTCCTTCCCTATTATGCATTGCCATTTATTCCTGACCCTACGTCTCATCCATCTTTCAAACCACTTTTTGCCAGTTCATGGAGTTCTGATCTCAAGAGAGACTTGCAAGTATTTCTTGCAGCAACTCTTAAGTCAGAGGAAAAGCCACAGCTCTATACTTTGTTTATGAGGAATTCCACAGAGATAGAGAGAGAAAGAAAACTGCACAATGAACAACTCAAGAAACTACAACTTCAGCTGACAGCAAAGGAACAGAGATTTTCCCAATTTGAAAAGAGATACCTTAAAATACAGGGTGATTACCATAAGCTCATAGGTGTTGCTGCTGAATTGGTGGACTCACTGGAGGATGCTGTCCGCGGAAAAATGGTGACACCAGAATACCTTCAAGACATTTGCATGAGGCTCTTTTCTCCCTCTGTTAGAGAGTCTTTAGATGTTAGCAAGCCAGGAACAGCAAGTTCAATGCTAAGGGCATCTGTCATCAATGATGAACTTCCTAGTCTTTCTGCAAGTGTGGATGTTCCATACAAACAAACTCTTGACTATGATAAGATAAAGATGAACCTGCTTTCTCTGCCTGAAAGGAAGAAAGCGTTTCTGTTACAGGCACTGAGGTGGAATCTGACCCAAGCACCTACCCGTGAACAACGAGACAGCATTGTTAATGCATACATTATCCATGATTTGCTTGGCTGCTCTCTTGACAGCCACTTGAGAAGTGGAATACTAGACCTCCTGAATTCACCAAATGAAATAGTTAGACAATACTTGGCAAGGTTGTTCAATGCCTTTGCGTCTCTCTCAGCAGGCCGCTCTTATTTAGCACAAAATCAATCCATTGTGCATGCCTTACTGTCAGCCCTAAAGAAGGAATCAAAAACATCCCTCACCAGTGAAAACATTCTGGGGACCTTGCAGAAGCTTAGCCTACGAAGGCAAATGCAGTCTATGATGATCAATGGTGAAGTGATTCAGTGGCTCTCTCAGCTGTTGATGGACCATGACAATCTATCAGACTACACATTGGAGTATTCAGTTGCTCTGCTTATGAACCTCTGTCTACGCTCTGGAGGGAAGAGAAAGTGTATCAAAGATGCTTCTCAAATTCTGCGAGTTTTAAGTGATCTCTTGGGGCATGAGAATCAAGAGATACGTCCGTATGTGAATGGTGCCCTGTACAGCATCCTAGCTTTACCTGCAGTGAAAGAGGAAGCTAGAGCACAAGGAATGGAGGAGATCCTTGAGTGTTTCCTTAAAGATGACAACCCCGATATGACCAGACAGATCCAATTTATCATCAAACAACTCAACACTGATGATCCATCTGCAACAAATGACCCTGAGTCTGATGACGAAGATGAGGAAGATGACGATGATGAGGGAGATGCTATTGATGCTGAGCTGGATAAACAAGAAATTCTTGAACCAAATGAAGGAGAGCTGTTTGGTGATGAGCTACTCAATACTTGTTATGCAATGCCAAATTCTAATCTATCTCAGCAGCCAAAGAACAAGAAAAAGTTTCCAGTTCCTCTTGACCCCAATCACCCTCTAACAAGACCCACCACTCCTGGAACAAGAGGAACAGATGCTATGCAGGATAATACTCCCCAACCAGTAACTTCCACAATACGACCAAAATCTGGACAACAGAGCAGGCCAACAACATCATCTAAATCAAGGCATGGCTCAAGACCGACAACGAATGGAGCAGCAGAGGAGAGGCCTTCAAGTACCAGGCAAGGAGCAAACCCAACCCCTTCTGATGGAAGTTCAAGGCCACCCCCTCAAGTGGTTGAGCCTCCTGCAGGTAAATCTACATTTAAATCCCCCTTTGTCTCAAGACCCAAGATCCCTCGCACACCAGACTCAAGGCCCAGAACTAGCACTCCACCACCTTTAGGACGATCAGCCTCCCCTCCCAGACCATCTTCAAAGGATGGCAGGCCTGGGACATCATCATCAAGGAAAAGCAGTCACTCAAATAAACAGTAAAAGACTGATTAATTTAATGTTCTTTTTCATTTCATGTTTGCTTCATCTGTGCACTTGTTCTTTAGCATCAATCGATATTTTGGTTTTGCCTCTCAAAATGAATGTTTTAAAGGTTTCACTGCCATTTAAAATAGAGTCAATTCAACTAGTTTTGTTGTTGGATTCCTATTTGTCTGTCTCAGTGGAAGTCAACTTCAAAGGTATTTTCAGGTCTTGCACAGTGCACATGTATTCTAAGTTTTCGCAAAACAAATTAAATATTCAATAACACATACTGCTGTATAACTTAAAGGCTTGAAAATTTCCAAATGCAAGAAAAAAAAGCATTATAGACCTCTACCACTATCATCAAATAACCTTGATGTGAAAGGAGTATCTTGACTATTTCAGTTGAGCTCAACTTCCACTTGATTTTTTTACTTTCAACAATAATTTTTTGTGACTATTTGTCTATGTTTCCTTAAAACACACTGCCTATCTAGAATAAAATTGACACACATTTTTGGGGTTATCTCTTAAGGTTTCATAAATGGCCAAAAGGTGTTGCTGCTCTCAGATAAATCGCATTTTGTTATTATTTGTTAACCCACACTCAAATAATACCCAATAATGAGACCTTTTACATCATCAAATGAATCTTTTATTCCATTATTGTCATTATTATTATTATCATTTCAGTTATTAATTCAAGCAACAAGTTGAGAATCTTTTTCACATACCAGAAGGAGACAATGAATAGCCCTCTTTAGCTTGTATGATTTGTTTACCCATTTCAGGTCTCAGAGAAAATTTTCATCTTATCTTTGTAAATTGTTTTGTACATATGCATGTGAATGAATAAGAGAAAATTTGAGAGAAAAAATTATCTAGAGTATTATGACATGACCTAAAATGGGTAAACAGAACAGAAGGTAAAGAGGTCTATTAAATTTGAATCCAACTGCAAGCACTTCACTTTCATTATTGCACCTACTTGAAGTAACAGTCTTTACTTAAAAATTCTACATTAAGACTTAATTTACTCACCTAAAGAGTTGCAAAACTATTTTATCATTGCTAAAGTGACCAAAAATTAAAAAAATCCTTACTTTCAGTACAATGGAATAAACAGTTACATTAACACCTCTACTTGTTTCATTGTGTTTCCTTCATTTTTAAATAGTAAAGTAGTCTTCCTCAATCTTTATTTTTTATATATACCAATTTGAAAAATTTTCTAAAACACAAAAATTTCAGATAAAATTGACATATACATGTATGTATTTGGCATAAAAGGTATTAAAACCATTTTAATCATAAGCATTTAAAAAACTTCAATTTAATTTCTGTCAGCAACACATACAGACTAAGATGTCAAGATGTTTTCTTTGGCTTGAAACAAGGCTGTGCTCTAGCAGAGCTTGTGTGCTATGCTAGAGGTAGCTTATTTCTATCTTTGGGCAACTTATTAAACTTTGCTTCGATTAAAACTTTCAAAGGCTTGACATCCCAGATTACTGATTCAAGAGCCTTCAGGCACTAAGCCATTGTTCCAAGAGCACAGCTTGGTAGATAACTGTCAGTGGAACTTCCCATCCCATCCTATCAGAACTTCACATCCCTATCTAAAAGGGAAGGTAAGATTCTTTCATATTGTTTTTTAATAAGTTAATTTGTCAATTTAGTAATAATCAAAAAATAATTTGAATTTATAGAGATTCCAAACTCTTCTTAAATATGATTTCAATCCCTTTGTAAAGTTTGGTTTTTTTTCCACCCCAAGGCAAAAATTAGAAACCTGATGTGTCCATCAGTGACTTCCAAGAAGTAGTCTGTGCCCCTTCCCAAGAGTGCAATTGGTTATCTATCTTTACTATGAAGCTCAGGAAACCTTAAACACTATGATATAATTCTGACAGGTCAACTGTGTATGATCAATCAAAGTGATGTTCAAGAAATGTAAGAAAACCTCAAACCATGATCCAATAACAATTTCAGTGGTTCAGTTTTTCTGACTGTGATTAGCTTTTTCACCAGAAATATTCTAAGAGTTTTCCTGGTGTTCACAATTTTCTGAGCTTCACAGAAAGTGTTATGCAGGTTGATTTACTCATAATTTAGCAATTCCACCGATACCACATAAGACAGCAGCTCTTGATCTGTGCTCACAATTAAGATTTCAACAGAGTCCAAGCTCAACATGTTTTTCCAGAGGGAACACTTTTGTCCTGAAGGGTGTTTTCTTTGATAGCATCTTTGAATTTTTTCCAGCCATGATAACTGCACTCTATTATCATGGTTGTCAAATCACAAGGATGCCTCTCTTTAGACTTCCGGGCAGCAACTAAAGCATCCCTGTAGTCATCTTTGCACGAATTTGTCCACACATTGTAGACCGGGGTTGGAAAAGGAGTAAACTTTGACAGCATATAGCTGCAAAGAATACGACAAAGTCTTCCATTGCCATCTGAAAATGGATGCAGATCTAAAAGTTCAAAAAGTAACCAAGCACAAGTTTTGAACAGAGAGTACAAGTCGTAAGAATCCTTGAGGCCATCTTTGATACAATAGTCGAACTTGTCATTGCATTGGTCTAATAATTTGCTTACAGCACTTTCCATGTCTTCTGGATTTTGATACTCATACTCTTCTCCTTTATATTCCGTTTTTCGAGGGAGTTTGCTGAATATTCCTGGTTTTGTCTTGTCTTTTGGAATTTCAATACCTTTCATAAGCATACCATGTGTTTCTTTGAGTAAACTTGCTTCCACAAGGCCGTAATCACCCGATCGTTCTTCCTTCTTGATTTTTGCCAACAAATGTTCATAAGCGTTCCTTAAGTTCAGAGTTTCTTGTTCTTTAATAGAGAGTTGACGTTGCAAACTACCGTTCCGGGCGTAGAAATTTGTTAAAAATTCATCGGTTTCTTCAAAAGTTGAAAAACCCTTTTCCTCTTCCATGTTCACGTGGAAAATAAATTCGACAAGAAACTGCTTCTGGACTTTGTCGATCAGCTCTTTATCGTATCTACCTTTAATTTCTTCCCACTCTCTGAGATGACTCAGAATTTCTTCTATCATCTCCTGGACTGAAACATCTTCTTTTTTACCCCACTTAGGAGTTTCAGTTGCCTCAAAAGGTAAGTATTGTGACAGTCGTCTCTTTCTGTTCTCATCATCAGTACTTCCGTGTGCATTCTTGGCAGCCATGCTCTCTCCTCGTGGATATCAGCTGGCTGTGGGGGGCGCGGTGGGGTATATCAGGAATCTCGAGCCCAGAGTCATTTTAGCTCCTTGTCAGCGGTATAGTCGCCAAATAAAATGTCACCATGCAGGCCTCAGACGCTGGACAAGAACCCGAAATAATCGTAGGCTCAAGGTTTGTGTATAGATATGGAAGTGAGATAAGCTTTCTCATGGGCCCGTGTTACATATAGACAGACCAATTTGTTTTGGAGGTTTTGGTTCCAGAGGGAAGCTGACATAAAGCAAACATGTTTCCCCTGCATCTTCTTATTGCTGGCAATAACTGTTTTCCCCACTGTGGGAAAAATTTTTTGATATATATCCATATTTTTTGTATTCCAAAAGACTTATGATTTGTCCCATCAGAAAGGCATGAGAAAGGTACTTTGAGGTACCATATATGTATTTGTATCTTTAAGATCCATCAAATATTTTTCTTGCTTGCAACTGGTCTAAACTCAGCACATGACTGAGTATCCCCAGCAAAAACTGGGTGATACCTGAGAATATCACACACACAATCTACAGAATGATTATCAATAACAAATTTGTCACTGGGTTTTATTGGTTTTTCATATTTCATTCTTTACCCAAAAAAGAGGAGAGACCCTGAATACAAATTTGTTACAAGGGGCAACCTATCATTTCCACATAATGTGTCAATCTATTCAAAGCTTCACATCTCTCACCCTTGAGAACTTTCAACTATGAAGATTGGTTTGTTTGAATTCAGGTCCCCCTGGCCCAAAATTGTGTTCAAATGCCCCACCAAGTGCTGGATTCCATTAACAGTTTTTTTGTAGAAGGAAAAATCAGCGACTGTGACATTCTTGAAAACCTGAGCCATCAAAGACAAAAATTCATCATGATTTGTTTCACCTCAGTAAGGAATAGACAATAAGCTTTAATTAATGAGTAATTCATTTATTATGAAAATAAGCCAAGACATCAAAAAAAGAATAATTCTTACAAAAAGTGACCATAACTTTCTCTTTAACTTTAACATTAATAAGTTCTGTTTTTAGTCAATAACCCACCAAATGGTTGAACTTCTTTCATCCACTTGATAGAAAGATCACCATGCAGTCTTAACTTACTGATCAACCATAAACTATGTGTAAAGAAATACATTTTACATTCTTGGGAAATAGTAATAGAGTAAAACAGACTACACTGTAACTGTTGAGCATTGGATGCTGAGGTTAAAGTTGTGATAGAAAGCATTTTTTCCAAAGTCAAAATACAATATTATCAATAGAATAATAGTAACTTGTCCAGTCTATACAAAAATAAATTTTCTGTACAATCAAACAGTGGCACAACAAAAACTCACTGTGGAGGGGAAATATTAAAGCTGGATAGGGGAAGCTGGTGGAAGACACTTCTAAAGTGATCATGAGACAATGCCCCACAAACCCCAAGGCCCAGCTCCTTTCTCTACCACACTTAAACTCACACTCACAATACTTACACAAATACAGCAATAGTATAAGTAAGTGATAGCAAGTAAATGCACCTTCATTCAAAGTTTTTTAGAAAACATCTTAACAAGGAACTGAGGCTACACAAGGAAGGGTAGGAACTTCAAATAAATGTTTGATATTACTGTAAGAGTTTGACTGAGTTAAGCATGACTTGTCAACTTTTCTGGAGTTTCCTGTGACATAATTTCCATCGGTTGATCCTTGCAAGGCTTTGAAAAATTTCTCCCATCCATAGTAGGTGCACTCAATTATCATTGTAGTCAGAGCACAAGGCTGTCTGTCTGGTGACTTCCTGGCTTCAACCAAGGCTTCAATGTAATCACCTTTACATGAATTTGTCCAGACATTGTAAATTGGTGTGGGAAATGGATTAAGCTTTGACAAGCAGTAACTACTAAGAATGCGGCAAAGTCTTCCATTTCCATCAGAAAATGGGTGCAGATCAAGAAGTTCAAACAAAAACCACGAACATGTCTTCAGTAAGCTGTAAACATCAATATCTTCGTTGGGTCCTCCTTTCTCCTCGATACAGGAATCATAAAGAAAGTTGTATTTGTCAAGTAAGTTAATGACTGTACTTTCCATATCGTCTGGATTTGCGTAGAGGTATATCTCCCCTTTAAATTCTGTAACTCTTGGTTTGTTACTCATTTCTCCGGGTTTTGTTAAACCTCCAGGCTGGGGAATATTCTGTAGTATCAAACGGTGAGTCTCTTTAAGTAAACCGACCTCCAGGAGTCCATAATCACTGGTTCGTTCTTCACTCTTAATTTTTTCTAACAAGCTTTCATAAGCATTAATTAAGTTTACTGTTTCTTGTTCTTCAAGGGAGAAGGAACTGCCAGCCGACATGCGTCTTTCAGAAGAACAATTTCTAAGAAAGATTTCAGTATCCTTGAAAGTAGCGATTCCATGTCCTTCTTCGCGATTGACATGAAAAACAAACTCGAGGAGAAAATCTTCTTTTACCTTTTTTATCAAATCCTCGTGATAGCGGTTCTCCGCTACAGCTTTTTCCCAGCGCTTGTGATACTCCGTGATGCCACTGATCATTTCTGTAACCGTTTTCGTCGGCGTCTCTCTGAACGAGTACTTGAGTGCCACGATGGATTTTCCAAAGCGTCGAATGAAATGAGGCTCCTCACGGGATATCTTTTAGCTTTATCCATGATGAAGTAGTTGTTGAGATTTCAAAATATTGTTGAAACTTATGTTCCTTTGGGGAGAGATTTCTTCTCAAAGCTTAAACGGACGTCAGTTATTATGGCGCGGGACGCAACATTCTTGAGGTCATACGTCAATAATAGACAAATGAGGGAGGCATAAATAAAAATAATTATGATGATAGAGACCGCTGACAACATCGCTAGACCATTCTTCATGTAACAACCCTCAAATTGCGCAACCACATGCTTCATTCATCATGGTGGATTTCAAGCCCAAGGCAATACGGGAAAGTCAACTTGAGAGAAGACAGGTTTATCTTTGAGCTGATTTGTCTCAATCGCCATTTTTCTTGTCATTTCAAGAGTTTCATTCCTTAATTTTTACTTCTTCAGGTTGAACTAGCTGTCCCTGCTCTTGTGAAGTTCGCGAGTCAGAAACGAGGCAAACAGCTGCGGCTTTTGAATGAACACGAAACAATTTTGTTGATCTTAGCTTTAAAGAAGATTCCAAACCCTGACAAGAAACCAAGAAGAATGTGAGTGTTAGTTAAATATTACCAAGTTAAATTCGAAAAGGCAGTTTACGATCCTCATCGTGATTGCTTCACATATACAGCTTCACGTTCAAGCTTGATAAATCGAAATCTTCTGGTGAGGTGTCAAGCGCTTATTGATAGAATTTTATTCACGAGCCAATGCTTAAGTACAGTTCATTTTTGTCTTTTTTCCAGCCCTTTACCATACTCTTTGCATTCAGAGAATGTAGAGGTTTGTTTGTTTACCAAAGAAGATAGTTCAAAAGTCAAGCAACTACTGAAATCAAAAGATGTTACAGTCAAAAAGGTATGGACAATCATATTTGGGAGAGAAATGTCGTTGTAACACTAAAATTTTCATGGATCTTCATTAGTAGCAGTAGTGTTGAAAAGTGTAGAATGGCATGACTGGGTCAGGATATATTTGGTATAATTGGCATAAGGCTTTATGCATATTTACATCAGAATACCCAGTTTCGCCCACAAGCCTCATTTTCAAGGTGCAAACTAGTGAATTTTAATTAGAAAGTATTCGCAAGACACTGAAATGAATAGAACACTCACACAAAAACAACAAGAAAGCGGCAAAGGTTTGTGCAAATGTTGGTGCTAATGAGACTTGAGGTGAGTTCAGTATATGAAGTCATTATGCAAAGGTTTGTAGCCTTCCTTTAAACAATCTCTATACATAGGTTTGGACAATTTTTTGATCTTTAGAAAACCTAAGAAGCTGCTTTCTATAAAGTTTTCTTTTCCTTTTCCATGCTGGAGTAAGGAAAGATGTAGATATGTGTCAGTGTACAGCAGCAAAGAGGAACCATTAATCAAGTATTTAGATTAGTTTAAGTTTAACCCTTGATTGGCATACACTCTAACTTTTTAAGTCTTGTTTGTTTGTTTGTTTTTTTTTTTGCAAAACAGAAATTTTACTCAAATGGTGATTGATTACTAGTGGTATTATATTTAAAGCAAACAACTATCCTGAAAATTTTTGGTATTTTTATGTAAGGCAAACATTTTAAGAATCAGCCTTCTTTTAAGACTTGCATGTAATTGTTCCAGGTGGTGACTGAAAAATAAATTTAATTAGCTCTTTTCAAGACTTGGCACCTGTGTAAAACAATTAAGGTTTATACCCTGAATATACAGTATTTCGTAGTGGTTAGGTACTTGAATATGCAGTCACAATTAGGTTTTTTTTTCAAACCTAAAGGTAATCTCTCTGACCAAGCTTCGTAAGAATTACCAGTCATTTGAAGCAAAAAGACAGCTCTGCTCATTGTATGATGTGTTCATTTGCGATGATGCCATCTACCATCTGTTGCCCAAGTTACTAGGAAAAGTTTTCTTCTCAAGGAAAAAGTAAGTTGTAGTATTTATTATGTGCTACATGCTTTCCTTTTTAAATCACAGTGCATTAATGCATATTTGGTCCGAAAAGTGGTTTGATAGTTAGCAAGGTGGACTGTGGATTTTTTTATTTTCAAAAATAACTTGGAGTAATTTTAAACTTTAAAACTCAAAAGGAACACAAGAACACCAAACAAAAAAAAAAAAAGTAGAGAATTGAAATGGATTGCAGTTGTGCATCTGAGAGGACTTCATTGTTGAATTTTTTCCTCTGTTTTTCAAGTTTATCAAAATTTAACATTTTACAATGTTGAAGTCCCATATTTTTTTAGATACACATTGAACTAACATTAAATATTCTGACCTACATGTAGCCTCTTAAAAAGAGATACCTCACTTAAAGTTCCACTTTTCATTCAGAATTACATGTTCATGGTGTGGATAAATACAGATCCATCTTTCCAAGTTGATCCACTTTGATTGCTGCCCAGGTCCTTCTCTTATTCCATGATTAACCCTTTAACACTCATGAGTGACCAAGATGGAATTTCTCCATACAGTGTCAACATAATGTCAACATTATAACAATTGTACTGTTGACAGTAAGAAGAATTACAAATTTGATCTGGGAGTTAAAGGGTTAAACACAGACATGTTATTACTTTGATGATTTGAATGAAACAAATTGACATGACATGTTAAACTGGTAGTAATTTAAAGTAATATGACAAGTATCAGATGTATAAACTATGAGGCTTAATTTAATTTTCATCTTGAACATTTGTCATCTAGGGAATGTTAATGTATAAGAAGTTCATCATGAAGAATTGTCTTTTCTTGTGTGTACTTCTTTCATCGCAGATTTCCCATCCCAGTTAGTTTAAAGAAAGTAAACTTGAAGAAGGAAATTGATAAGGTTCTTAACTGTTCTTTCATGACACTGGGGCATGGATCATGCAGGTAAGCCTTAGAATAACCCATTTTATTATTTTTTTATCAGTCAGTACATGAGCTGTGATTGGTCAATTTAGCAGGCCATTTTTCACTGTACAACCTGCTTAATTCTTGAGTTTATTTTGATTGACATCTTCCTCCTCTATTTTAAACTAGTGATATGATAAATATCTTACTAACTTTGTTTTCTTGGTTCATTTGCAAGTCACAAAACCTTGTTTTTTCTGCTCAGATTTATGGCTGGTGTGCCTGGTGCCTGGGCCATGAATATGAGCAGGAAAAACTTGGTCTATAACCCACAGTGTAGACTTAAAACTTGGTTCGTAAGAGGTGTAGACAATTCTCCTCTAAACTGGATGAGTTTTATCAGAACTCAGAGGGGTTGTATGTGTGGTAATTATTAATTCCCACATTGTTAGAAAGCTCTTACTCAATATGTTCCATCAACACCAGTTGCCCATTGTTGTTGTTCCATTGTGCAGGTTTTCTCTCGTGAAATGAAGAAACTAAAATACATAATCATTGCTTTGCAGTGCAATTAAGGTGAGCCATACTGGACAATCAATTGAACAAGCTGTAGAGAATGTTGTCAGTGCTGTCAGCGAAATCACCAAGATTGTCCCAAGAGGATGGAATAACATTCAATCCCTAAACCTCAAAACATCAGATTCAATAGCTCTTCCACTCTATACATCACTACCTGAAAAATCTCACATCATAGAGGACTCACAGCCACCTGCTAAAAGAAGGAAAAAGGAGACATGACCACTGCCATTATCTAGACTGCATAATGTAAAGAACCTCATTTTGAGGTTCTTGAGAAACTATTTCTTTGAGTGAAGAAGCAACAGAAATTGGTGGTTTGGGATATAAGGAAGGAACATATGAGATTTCAGTGTTAGTTAACCCTTTAACGACCTAGATGTTTTTGTCACTTCTCCCCTCTAGCTGCTACACACTTCCTTGTAAATTGGTGATGAGAATTTGGTGTTAGATCAAGATAACAACTTTACTTGATGAGTTTAAGTATTCTCATTACCTGTTTGCTGGACGATGTATGAATGTTATGGGAAGAAGTTACATGTTAATCACTTGAGGGAGTTAAAGGTTTAAGTTTTTCTGGGCATAAACCAAACTGCATAGCTGGAAGATTAGTGGCATTTAACTCCCAAGATCTGATTGTTAATTCTCCCCTCTAGCTGCTACACAATTCCTTGTGGATTGGTTTGGAGAATTTGGTGTTGGATGTAGATAACAACTCTTACCTGTTAAGTTTAAGTTTCTCATTACCAGTTGGCTGGATTTTGTGTGGATATTATCAGAAGTTACATGTTAATCACTTTTGAGGAAGGGATTAAAATGCAGGATCAAATGTGACTGGTGAAGCTGTGAGATGAGATCCAGCTGAATTTCTCAATTTTCTCATTCCTGTTGTCTTTTCAACTTATTAGCTCAAGAGAAAAAAAAAACCTTTCTTACCTCATAGATTATGCAAGGTTTGCTTAAATGTAAATTGTAATTTTGCCAACAATCCTTTCACTCTCAGGAGTGAGCAATAAGTAATTTATTCTTGCAATATCATTTCAATGTTCAGCATGAAGGTGATTCGAAGAAAATGTTAACACGGAATAATTTTTTATTTTGCTCTAAATTCTTAAAGCTGAAGTTGTAAGAACTTGTGATAGACAGTGCGGAGAATTGATATGTAGAACATAGTAACTTCGTCAAAGTCAGTAAGATGTTGAGAATTTGGGGTCTTATCTAAGACACCTCACTGGTTTGGTCGTTATCCAACAAACTATGCAACTTTGTTCAGTTTGACTCTTTGAAGTCTCCCATTCCTGTCATTAAATTGAAACAAATCTAATGTAAAGATGGTTGTCAAAATTTTATGTATTTATGATAAATCAAATGCACTTAATTATTTCCAGGCGATCACATTCGTCTCGTTAATTGAAGCTAAAGTGAATTTGGTATATTAAATTAAGTTTTACAATTTTCTGTCCAGACTTTTACGGAACGTAGCGAAAGTCCATGTTTTTTATGCGTATTTGTGATTGAAAACAGAAACTTACTACCTAGATAAATTACGTGCGAAAAAAAGCTTTTTCTATCTTACCTTTAAATCATGACGTCAAAGGAAAGAACAAAGGGCGATTTCGATGTATCGAAAGAGCTATTAGCAATTACACAGGCACTTATCACGCTTTCTACTTTGACGATAGAAAAAAAATTGACTAGGAAGTTAACGATAAATCAAGTCCGTGAAAGACCGCCCCTTTCAAAGATTCTGTGGTGCACAAACCCACAGGAGATAATGAGGTAACATGCAAAAAAAAACAAAATATGTTGTGAATAACGAGGCGAAAGAAGGTGCGGTCCGTTGTGTCTTTCAAATTTTAAAATGGTAGATTTATCGGGAGAAACCGCAATATTAATTGAAAAAATTCAGATCGGGAGCATGCTTATTAGGAACAATTAAGAGGGCATTTGAAACGAATCCGTAACAACAAAGAAGTTACTACGCTGTAGTTAAGGTGTTTTTTCTGTTTTCGAAACATCTTCAAAGTTTTTCCGAATTACATCATTGTAAAGTAATCTTACATTTCTGCGTTATCTTTTCTCTAAAAATATCCACCCGTTCGTGGAATGAAAATAAAGTGCTGGTAAGATAAGATCTGTAATGTTTCAGAGAATACGCTTCCGGCAGCACGCGCGCGGCAAAGTTTACTTCAAAACCCTCTCTAATTATGTGTACGGACTGAAGGTTAGTGATCTTGAACTTCCTAAAGCCGTTGGTCTTACTGCTTTCAGGATAAGAAATCTTACACATTCCAAGCATCTTCAGCCAATATTGGCAAATGCATTAGACTATTTCATGTAAATGATGTATTTTTCAGGATACGAGAACAAATTAATCAGGATATCTGAGTCAATTAACTGTAGGAAAGTCACGTACTGCTACAATGACAAATAAAAAGCGATAACTTTTCCATGATGATTCAAATAAACACCACGGACATTTGTCAAAGCTTTTCACGATGCCGAGAGGGAACTTCTACGTGCATCGCACTTTTCAAGATTTATCGTCTGGAATTTCTTTTAATTAATGATCGCTGTCTCAGTAGTTTTCCATGAGTTAAATTTTTAAAGGTAAGGTGGCACTCTTACAGTGTAGGCTTTTTACAAACATCTGTGAATGATTGATATGATGACATGTGACTGATTTTTTCTCCATTCTAATTTGGTGCGAGGTTGAATTAATCAAGTTGCATTTCTGCTTCAGTTTAAAGACAGTTTGTTAGAAGGTTGTTAATATCTGTTCATCCTTTGCCCAGTAAAGAGTTGACTAACAGTGTGAGCAGCAGTCTACAACTGATCACAATGATAAAAACAAACATTGGGACAGATAGAAAACAATGACGTCGTCAATCCTTAAATTTTCACGGAGCATGAAATTATTTCTTGGGAATCAAGTTTAGTAAGTGCATTAAGATCCTTAAAATTTGGCAAGGTGATTTCGTAGGAAGAAGCGGGACGCAACTTCTAATGACAACAGTAAACTACAACATAATATTAACAAAACACTAGCTAGTCACGGCTTGAAGTGGAGTTTAATCATAACCCGTCAATCTGCCTAAAACATTTAATCATCAGCCGTCAAAAAGGATAAATTTTTACAGGCGATCATCAAAAGAGCAGCTCAAGAATAGCCGTCAAACGCCTTAAAAGTCTTTCAGATCTCTTTCAACCTCTTCTAGCGCGCGGGTGTGCTATGAACAGTTTGTCAGTTTCAGATCTCGAAAGCATCTTTGGAGTTGTAAACTAGTCTCTCAGTGTCAAAATTATTCACTTTTTAGCCATTTCTTTTGATTTCTGCCTAAACTGACGGTTTGAAAATATTTTAATATTAAATTCATATTTCGATATTCAAAACTAGCTTTCCGCATTGATAGCTTATTCCTGACCGTGCCACTTGTCGCTCTAGTTTATGGTGATGTTGACGAGTTTTTTATCACCAAATGCGACGGGTCTTACAGAGAGTGACAATTTTATTGCAAAGAGCGACAGAACGAATGATAATAACTACCCACAAAAAAACTCTACTCGAAGCTGCTATAACTTTGTCCGGAGACGGAGAAGCAACTAAAACGGTGAGACATGTTGTGACAGAGAAAAATATCTCCCAAATAACCATTAATCGTTGAATACACTAAAATATCACTGTCAACCGTCAAAATTGCAAAAAATCAATCGTCAACCCTCAGCTGAGTCCCCCCTCTAGTAACAGAGTGAAAAGAAGCCTAAACTGAAAAAAACATCAGTGAAGAAGACAAACTGACTCTGTTAAAAAAAATATCGTTGTCAGCGCCTGAATTTTAACGGAGATTACAATTATTTCTTTGGAATCAACCTGAATCAGTTGTATAAGGAATCTTTAAACGAGGATGTCACAATTCAGCTGAGTACTAATTCCTTAGATGGAAGAACGAAGGAAAATATCAGTGTACTACAGCATATATATAGTCTGCATGTGATAATTAACGAACTAGAAATTCACTTCAAAGGCATCGACGAACACGCCAACGGTTTAGCCCGACTTTGCAAGAAATGTTTCGAGCGCATACAACGGAGTTGAGACGTGAGACAGACCGTAGCATTAAAACTTATGAGGTCGCTCTGATAAAAAGTACTCAATATTATAAGAAGCATTTTTAGCAGCGATTTCAAGGTCGAGAGAATATTATCTGTCATATTAAGCGATCATATACTCAATTTTAGTTTAATATTCCTTTTTTCCGTAAGAACTTCAAATAAATCTTTGGTAAGGGCTTAGTCAAAATCAGACATATTTTCTTATTTCTTAAGTTCTCTAGTATTAAATATAAGAGTTTCATTATTATGTGCATGGCTGTGTGCGCGTGGATGTGGTTTTTTTCTTAATTTTTTTCTTAGCGAATTCACATTGCTCCTTTTTCCGCAAAGTGGGGGAAAACAAGAAATGATTATCATTTCTTGTTTCCCCGACTTTGCGGGAAAAGCAGCGATGTGAATTCGCTAAGAAAAAAATTAAGAAAAAACCACATTCACGCGCACAGTTTATTCAACGAGTCGCTGAATAAACTTCCACTTCATTTCATAGCAGTGACTACCATATGCGCTTTAATTGGAGAAAAATAACTGAAACAGGCAACATGTTCATGTTGTTATTTAATAGTTTCTGGTTCGATGTTGGGATCGAACACTGAAAAATTTCTTGTCTCTTATTTTCTGGTTTTGATATTCGTTCTCAAGATATAGGTTCCTTTAAAACTCAACTTCCTTAGACAAATATCGGTGTTAATCCAGATGAACTGAGCGAAATGTAACTTCCTAGTGTATTTTGCAATGGACAGGCGTCAATTACCTCTCACTACTTATTCTTGCTGCTTTGGGCCTGAGACACCTGTCCTGAAACTTAAGCATGGTTTAATGGTTCCTGGAGACAAGCCTCTGTCTGCCTCTCATACGTGATAATCAATTCGAAGCGAATCTGAAAATATGAATTGCACCAACATGAACTACGCAAAGAATATTGATGATAACCGAAACTAATTCATCGAGTAAATTTCAATTTCAAACACCACGGCTCGGAAAGTAATGAACATACCCAATATTAGAGAAAGATCATAAAACATGACCAGTCATCTATCTCCAGTTCAAGTAACTTCCTCATTAATATGGATATACCTATAGTTTTTAATTAAGCGAGGGCTTTTTAGGTTTTGAAAGGACTAGGCCATTTAAATCGACACAGAACAGGTGCCTTGCTGATCATCGCACAACAAGTTCACTATAAAAAGGTAAGAGCGAGCGTGCTAGGAACTTGAAAACCTTTTACAATTCACTTTTCTGAAACATGCAGAAAAACCAGCGCAATGTTGTGTACCCGCTCGTTCGATATCGAGGAGACAGTAAGATTTGCAGTTGCAGCCAGAGCAAATAAACACACACCAGCTCAACTAAAACTGAGAAACATCTTAAGCAAAACCGGACCGTGAAAATGAAACCGACCAAAATTGAACGCGTCCTGCATCACATAATTCGGAATTTCCACTAATTTATCCTTAGAAAGGCCATGAAACGGATCCAATTATACTGCGTTTTGGACCAATGAAGTTTTCTATAATCATTGAACTCGGATCCTCAGTAGCGCCGGCGAAAGGTTTGCAAGGGGTTTGGCTCGTGATCAGTGGTGATCTATTTGCGCCCTCACCGGCCAGCGTTTCGCGAGGCTTCAACTTTCTCGCGAGGGAAGAATCCCTCGTGCCGCAGTCCCATCTCACAGCGACATTCAGAAATTTTGTCACAGGAGAGTCACATAGGTGCATGGTATAGAGAATGACGTTAGAGCGGAACTCGCCCGCTATTGGCCATAGTTAACCACGTTGGTCCTTTTTTGCAGATAGCGCGTCTTAATACGATCTCTCCACCATGTCTGAATCGACCTCAGCTGCCGTAACGACAATATCATTTATTTTAGTCGTTACAAATGTGATAGGAAACTCACTTGTTTGCTGGATCATAAAAAAGAACCGAAATATGAGGTATGTCGGATACAAGAGGCGTTTGAATGTTGAATTGAATTGAATGAATGTTGAATTGAATTGAATGTTTTTGAATTAAGTACTCTTGACTAAAATTTGCAAAATGGATGATTTTCATCGTCGACCTGTTTTTATGTGTCAGGAGGGTCAGTTTCCCAGTTTCCGCTGAGGAAGCTGTGGCGCTGGGCGGGGGGGGGGGGAAGGGGGGTAAACTGTGGTGCTGGGCGGGGGGGGGAGGTAAACTGTGGTGCTGGGCGGGGGGGGTACTACAAGGAAAACTCAGAATTCATGAACACAAAGCATATTCAAGTACGGGTATTAGGTTGATTTACCATTGTGTTTTGAGCTTTACTGAAAATAGTTATACCTTTCCCAAAGCTCCGTGCCTTACTGGCTTGTGTGGTTGTTTGTTGCTCGTATTAGATAACATGATTCTAACAGCGTGAAAGTACACCGCCTATTCGGTGTGAGGGCCACAAGTTTATTAGCCTTTGGCTATTAAGTGCCACCCTCTTTAAATAAAGGCTTTATTATTATTATTATTATTATTATTATTATTATTATATTCATCAAAACATTCGCATATACGCAGACGTTTGACTGCTGTGTTCAACGGGAATTGCTCGATACCGCGGGTTGGTTGTTCAGTTTTGTTTTCATTCTCATTTTTTCTTTTCTTTCCTTTTTTTTTTTTTTCAATCCCACAGAATATCCTTGAATTATCTACTTGTCAACCTGGCTGTAGCAGACATCTTGTACGCGGTGTTCATAGCACCAAAAGTTCTTGTCAAATTGACTGTCTCCCACCCTGACGGGCTGACAGGGATATTCCTGTGCAAATTGGTGACAGGTGGAAATCTTGCGTGGGTTGGAAGCGCTTCCTCGATTGTTACCCTGGTTGCCATCTCGGTTGAGCGATATTATTCGGTCATGTATCTATTTAACAAAAAAGGAAAACTCACCAGGCGTAGACTTAAGGTCTGTTAACAGTGTAGTTAGCCTGTTAACCTGAGTGGAACTTGATTACTGTCCCTTGATCAGTTCTCTTATTTTTGTCCGTTACTACTCAGAGAGGTTACATAGCAGGTATGAAAAGAAAACCAACAGAAAAATGACAGAGGAAAAAAAAAAACAAAAATAGAAAAAATTATTCCTTATGTGTATTATGGCAAGTTTATATTCTCTTGATTGTGGTACCTAATTTTCGGGAAAAAATATCATGAAAATAATAATAATAATACCTTTATTTATGTAGCGCTCGTATCCTCTGCTCAAGGCGCTTACAATCATACAAAATCATACGTTATTAATTAAAAATTTACCAATTTACAACCATATCCTACTATATGATACTTAAACATAGCTAAAATTCATACTGATTAAAAAAGAAAAACAAAACTAAAGCCAGCCATATCTTATTATATTATACTTAAACATAGCTAAAATTCACAATGATTAAAAAAGAAAATTGAAACTAACGCAATATATATAAAACTATAAAAATAATGTCCTGCTTAGCTTGCTCCTCTTGAAAAGTGCCATCCAAATAACTTAAAAATCGTAAAATCACTTTTTGTTTCCAGGTGTTTCATCCACCTCCATCTCTTTGACTTTCCGGCTCTGTTTTCCGGGCTCGCGCTCAGATATGATCAGTACGCGGCTTCTTTCGCTTAATCTCTCGACATCTCGCGCATATGTTGTGATAGCGATAAAAATGAAATGGCTGAACTTTATGATTTTTCTTTAGGTGATCATTGCTATTTCGTGGATATTCTCTTCAATCTTCAATTTGCCGGTGTTCTTGGTCAGGTCCTTTGATGATAAAAGCCAACAGTGCCTTCTAAGCTATCCGGAGGAGTGGATTATTAAGGCTCGGGAAACGGCTTGGCTCGTCTTGACAGTTGTTCCCTTATTGATAATGATTGGCCTATACTACAGAGTCGTGCACCTTTTGTGGTTCAAAAATTGTGGTGGGGACAGTCAGTTCAGCAGCAAACAAAAGGTACGGCCAGGTTTACTAAATGTTCTAAAAGGAACTGTGGTGCAGCGTCGGTGGGAAGGGGTGGGGGTGGGGGGTAGGGGGTGGGGTATTACAAGGTAATCCGGTTTTACCGGCTGAGTTGACAAAGCGAATTGGCCACCCTAGAGCTGACGTTTCGAGCGTTAGCCCTTCATCGGATTCGCACTGACGAAAGGCTAACGCTCATGCGTCAGCCTTAGAATCTTTTTACGGAGGTCAGTTCACATTATAAACCCAGTTGATAAAACCGAATCATTTCTACCGATACTTACCCTGGTTTCATCGGCATGAAGCGACAAGAAGTGATCACTTCCCCTAAGATTAACCCCTAAGGCTTGTCCTCCACAAATACACCCCTCTCCGCAGTCTCCAGTTTTCTGGCACATGTCTCTTTCATAATTCGAGGTGGGAAGAAACACTCCGGTTGCCATCTCACCCGAATGTCTTGTTTAGGTACACAACAGAACGACCCCGCCATGACTTAAACCCGAAACCTCTCGATCAGTTTTTCTAGTACACCACATCTCACCCAGTTACTATATAATTTCACGAGATAAGATATCGATATTTACTTTCTAATGTTAATGTGATATTTATTGATCTAAAGGGTGTGCTGAGAGTACGAAAACGAGTGACTCTAACTGTGATAACCGTCAGTGTCATCTTTGGAATCTGCTGGGGGACGAGTTCATTTATCTATTTTATGATTAACGTGATATCCTGCGACTTTGGAGCAATCGTTGTAACAGTTGCAGACATTTTGATTCTTTTCAATTCCACTGTCAATCCGTTTGTGTATGCGTTGTTAAATCACCAATTCAGAGAAAAAATGAGAGGGACAACATGCTGCTCTCGTTCCTCGCCATTCAGAATCCATCATATAAGGAACCCACCGAGCAAAGAGTTAGCGGATGATAGTGTCGCTCACTTGTCGCAGACCGGAAGAATAAGAAAAAGCGTTCCAGTAAATGCTGTTTATTCTAGAACTTAGTGAATTTCAACTTGTATAACAGCATTAAATGGATTCAACAAACAAAGCTGGCAATTGTAGATTAGCTGAATATTTAGACGGTGTACGGGGCAAACTCTTCCCCAGAAATGACTGCGATCCCTTCAGCCGGCGCCACATATCTAGTAAGCGATGTAAGAAACTGGCTGATAAAAACAAATGCCAAGAAAAATGGAGACGAATGAAAAGACACATAGCGTGTTAATCCATCTGTTTAAAATCCATTTAGTTATTTCTATCCTCATCCTTCCCACTACTGAGAAAATATGGCAACGACCTTAGCAAAAAAATGAAAATGTTTCATAGTTAGGTTTATTTGAAGGATTGTTTAAATTGCCTTAAAATCCACTATAATATCGTGATTTCGTGATTACAAACTTTTTGGTAATATCCAATTTCTGGATTTCATTATCTATCGTGTTTGGAAAATTTTTTTGAATATCATAAAAATGACAAGAACAATTTGAAAAAAAATTTACGCTAAATAATAAAGTTAAGAACAAGATTCATAATAGTTCAAGTAGATGAACAAGATTTCTTGAGTATTTGCAATGAATCCTTACTTGAAATAAGCCTGCATATGGCTCACGAGATTGCACTGTGATACAACCCGTGTTATTTCTTTTTATGTGAGAAATGATTATTAAAATTGGTAGTGATAATTGGTGTGATCTTTTTGGTTATCATTTCTGTCATTTATTTCTCTTTGATGAGAGCTCCACTAAGACTCGATCCTCTTTTCTGAGGACCAGGCCATTGAAGGATATACACTTTACCCCTATTGCTGTTACATTTATTGAGGTGTCACCAAGGCAATATTTTTTCTAGCAACTTATATTCTGTTATTGAAGATATCTATGCAATACTAAAGCGATAACTGCGTTTTTTTCGCGCTGCGCGTGTAGTATATTCGTATCCGATCTGAAATATTATATTAAAGACTCTGATCACTTTTCACCCTACTATTCTATTGAAAGGGAAGAAAATTTAGCCCTAGTGCTGTCATATTTATTCAGGTTTCACCTCTATTCAAGGGACTCTTTTCCAGTCCTAACGACGTTCTTCTAGATGACAGCTCCATTATGAATCAGTCCTCTTTTCAGGGGACCATGCCATGCCATGAAAAGGACCCTTTTTCGAGTCTCAAGGATATTCCTTTACATAAAAGGTCCACTTCGAATCAGTCTTTGAATTTGGATTCGCTTGTTTTGCTCGTGTTAGTGGTGTTGTCAGTATTTACTTTTCCCTCTATTTCATTCGAGGGCTGAATCCTGGACAATGAATGGTTGCCACAGATCATGCCCTTCATCTTCTCCTTGAACTGCTGGTTTAGCAAGGCATAAACAAAAGGATTAATAGCAGAGTTGATCAGGACCATGGTGAAAGCTACGTCAAAGGGAAGAGGGCCGATGGATACGGAAGCAACATCCATTAAGGTAAAACAAACTTGTAGTGTTGCCCAACAGATTCCAAAGATGACACTGACGATGATGACCATCAAGGTGACCCGCTTACGAACTCTCATCACACCCTGCAAATCAGAAGATACCAAGCTCTCTTACGCCATGGCAATAATGTGATTTAGAGATGAGGCGTCTGGAATTGCATTGGTTTTGTTTTTACATTGCGTTTGCGATGACAGAGCTAAAAGACGTTCGCTTATAGGTCACTGACTTATTTGCGCGGGCTCACCATTGAAACCTTAGCAACAACCACGGTAAGATGGAAGGATTTTGAAAACGATTAAAATACGGCGCGTATTTTATCCTAGATTATGACTTAACCAGAGAGTTTAAGCTCTAAACTTTCTCTGCAGACCCTCTTATAATAAAGCGAATCTTTTGATCTCCATAGTTTTACCCTTAGCACCTGCCGAGGTTTAGTTACAAATTGTTATGGTTCGATCGCAAAAATGCACGTACCCTTTCAGTGGAGAGGTTTCGATATTTGCCTTATTACCAAGATAATCGACCAAATGATAACCCATGTCTTTTCCGAAGGTTTGTGTACTTTTATTAGGTGAGTTGATTTTGGTGTTATTTTTAAAGTGAGTAGGTCCCACACCCCTTGCAATGGGTCTAATATATTTCTTTTCGGTCGTTCCTGGGAGTAATGTTTAACCCGATTTCTATTGCTCACTACTCGTCTTCAATTCATCTGATTAATGATTGTGTATTTTTTATACCATATGGAATGACGTATGTAGAACGTTTTTCGAGTGATCCTTTAAAACCAGAACTAAAGCAATCACAACATCCAATCAAAACAAGGAAAACATCACGAGGAGCCAACGAGCACTCAGAGTAAAAGCAAGCAAACTGCATAAAGCGCGGGAAACGTGAGTGACCAAGTCACTATGCTTTTGATTTGAAATTGACTGATTGAGAAAGCGGCGCTAGTTTTCTGGACCAATCACATTTCGAAGTAAAGCAATTCCAAATAACTACCGACACAATTGAAAATTGTTGTACAGTGAATAATCTTTTCGTATGCTTTAGTGGCTCTATTGGAGTAATACTTACTTGCTGTTGGCGGGTGGCTTCGTTGCCATCGGTAGTATTGGAGCACAATGCGTAAATAACCCTGGAGTATAGCACGATCATCACCAACAAGGAAACAAACACCAAGGTGGACCATGCGAAGTTGTACGCTTTTGACATCCACTTCTTGGGCCAGCTTCGCACACAAGATCGTCCTTCTTCCTCAATTATGAAAAAGAGTGGCGAGATGAATAACGTCGAAAAAAGCCAAGCACAAGGGATAATCACCTGAAACAAAGGCCCAGTAACCATTACTGACCTCTCTACAAATATTTGACCAATGATTTGAAATCAGTTTATTCTGAGGAGGAATGGTGCACGTGGTAAGAGAATACGTGATTTGAATAGTATAAAATAAAGTTTCCAGGTCAATGAAACCCCTTCAATTTCGACTTCGATAAGAAAAATGAACCCGGCAAATTGAAACTGTTAATATTTAATTGAGGGTATGTAGAGGGCTGGGGTAAATTATTTACTTGCGACCAAAGGAAATTTCTCTTTTTTTTGTCGTCTTGAATTAAATTTTTGCGTATTGAGTGAAGATAGATTGCCTATACGAAAAGAGCACTGCCGATATTTACCTGTATATACCGCTCGAGTGAAGCGTGGGTGGAGAGGGGGGGGCGGGGGTGGGGATGGGGGGAGGGTGTGGGGGAAGGGAAGGGGGAGGGTGTGGGGGTTGGGGAAAGGGAGGAGGGTGTAGAATTGATAACAGTCAATCAGTTCTCATACCCTACGTCAATCGTACTATCAACTGTATTAAACACAAGACTCAAATTCTTATAAGTGCCACAAAGCGGCGGATTGCATTCATTCTGAAATGCTATGTATGTGTAGACTCAGTTATTGATAACTTACCCTAAGTTTTTGTGTAGTGACGTTTCTTTCGCTATTGAAGGGATAAACAACAGCATAATATCGTTCAAATGCGACAGCGACCAGTGTGATTATCGAAGACACTCCTCCAATCCATGCAATGTTTCCATTTGTAACAAATTTGCATAAACATAGACCGATCATACCGTCTGGATGGATGGCACCAGTTAGCGTCATGATATTTTTGGGTATCATGAACACCGCGTACATGATGTCTGATATCGCCAGATTAACAATAAGATAATTTATGGGAGTTCTGTAGAAATAATGAAAGAGAAAATACGTAAATTCAGGTGAAATTCAGCTCAGGATTGCATTGATCGCAAGAGGGCGTGTGTTTGTCTGTTTTTATTTATCTTTTGCTGTTTTTTTCTGCCCTCTCTATTGTTTTTTCCTTCAAGCCCAAATTTATTTTGCAGTGGAGAGGATAAAGATATTCGAGATATATTCTAGCCTTTTGTCATTTGTTTTCGTTTTGTCGAAGAAAGAATCGGACCTCGCAAGAGGCATACTTTTTCAGCAAAATAATATTCGTGCGTGATTCAGGGTAGGTTCTTTCTAGATTTTTCGGGGATCTCTAAAAACAGAAGTGTTCTAACTAAACAAAACAACTAATTTTCCGGGGGTAGATGTAACGCGAGTACCCTCGCGCCTTTAATATCGATTATAGAGTCTTCGCGCAGTCTCTGCGTCAACGCATGCTTACGGAACACGGAATTTGTTTTTTACGCAAGAAATGAAGAAGAGTAAAGTGGCGATTTCATGTTGCGTTATAATATCAATTTTATTAGCAGCAGCCGGAGTTACTAATTCATATACAAACTTTCTCACGATAGTTGTTCTGAAAATCCATATTTATCATATTTCATTGATATATAAGTGCAATTTCCTGACGTTTAAATTTCGTCAAAATAGTAAAAACCATGCACAAAACCATGATCGGTTTTTTTCATCGCAAAGATTCAACGAGGATATTAAAAATCCATTGCAGAAATATAACGGAAACGAACAACAGCGGAAACGCCCTGACTTAAATATGACGGAAACATGACTTGACATTTCCGTTCCGGAAATATGATGGAAACTTGATAGAATCGCCAAAATTTGGTATAACACGTTTCCGCAAAACGTAAATGTAACGGAAACATGAAACTCGATGTTTTTTTCACGTTTAAGAAATGTGGAAACGTGAGATTTCGTCCTGTGCTCGCAGAACAGAAACCACGACGGGACTCAAAGCTGCTCACATTCTATATGCTGAAGTTAAGGCGTGTCGCCGTAACAGAGGGTAAACACATCCAATCATTTGTGAAATTCTTCAGCGTTGTCGTCCGGACTGTTTAAGTCTCTATTTTACAGCCTGCTTGGAACAGGCAAAACATACCTCATATCACGATTTTTCTTTATGATCCAGCAAACCAAAGAGTTTCCTATGATATTAACAGAGGTTATTATCAAAAAAACGACTGTTATGGCGAAGGCAGCTGATGTTGACATAATGAAATTTCAGTCTGTGCGAGTTCCTGATCTGAAAAATAATGAACAAGTAAATAAATGGAGCAGTAAATGAGAGAAAAGATTATTAAAAAAAGTAATATATTCATGACAACAAGGTTTTGGAAGATAACCCCAAAAACTCTTGGGTTATTTTCCAAGGCTTTAAGGTTCGCCATGTTGAAGTTTGCCCTTTTATTGTTGTTGTCACTGTTGTCGAAGGCGTTTGGCAATACTGAATTTGTGGTGAGCGCACAGCGCCAAATTGAATTAGCTGTACCTGTGTTCTCATTAAAAACAGTTGTGACAGCAGGAAAGGAAATTTAAAATTAGAGAGTTACGTTTATTCGACTGAGCTTTAAGAATTGCCGTCGGTTTCTATTCAGTCTTAGGCCCTGGCAACTGTTGGATGTTGCAATCTCTGTACAACGCTGAAAGCATTAAAACAGGTGACAAAAGATCTGAGAGTTCGATCTATTGAGAGAGCTCCATCATTCTTCATTACTTTTTATCTATCATAAGTCATCGTTCTTTATTGAAAGACTGTTTTAGTACAAAATTAAATGAAACAATACATCATAGTGCGGAAATGACAGGAAGTTCTCCTCTCTGAGTTGTTTAAAGGCAATCCAATTTTTTCAGTTTAATTTCGTTTTTTATCGTAATTTTCGTTGTTTTTTGTCACCCGATGGCTTCAATATGACAGGAAGAAAACCTGCGTTATTTGTTCAAGCTTTGTGGAGGCCTAATTACTTTTACAGCTTTTCCTTTCTCAAATCATGTGAACAGTACCCGTACAGCTAAGACGTAAGGTTAGTTTTTCATTTATCATTTATCTTTCATGTATGATATGTTTCATTAATTGTAATAGACGAACCCGCTGCTTTTAAAATATTGTGATTCAAATGAAGAAAAAAACCCCAGCTCTGAGAAACATTAAAAGGGGCTTAGATTGATTAAATTAACTGAATCACACCCAAGATAAATGAAGAGGCCTTCCAGCTTATTGTGAAAAGTCACACCGTGGTCTGAAATGAAGTACCTTATATCTGCAAATTTAAGTTGAGTTTGTTGAAGGAGATGACTCGCTTAGCTGTACTTGTAAACAAACCGGTCCACCTGTAGTGACGTTAAGACTCCTAATTTTTTCCTCGCCACAAAAATCCTTGGTTTTACTAGCTGGGTTGATTTTATAAATTGACTTCCGTAGAGAGATTCTATAAATGTGACGTTTCGAGCGTTAGCCTTTCATCAGAGTGAATCGATGAATTATGGGTTGTGTGTGGTTTATATAGAAAAAATCGGAGCTACGCTATTGGTGGGACCTTGGTAACGTGAAAAACAAATGAATGAATTAGTTTAATGAGAGCGTTCGTCAGAGCCTTTCGCTCACACGAACGCTCAAAACGTCAGCTTTGAAACTCTATACGGTGGCCAATTTACGTTATCAGTTCATAATACTGAATTACCACGTTTATGCAATAGATGACATTTGCGGAGGTTCAGGTGAAATTATTAGTGCGATCCAATTATTTCCCAAGGTGATGAATGAAAGGATAAGTTTTTGCATTATCAACTCAGTTCATAAAACTAAATTATCTAACTAGAGATAAGTTCGGTAGCACCACTACAGGCAAAGACAATGGGTCGACTTGTGGTGTAGTCAAGCGTTTGGATTTAGGGTATATTAAAAAGTAACTTGAAATACACGAAACTCTAGGAGTGGTCAGTGGAGATGAAATTTGTCGCAGTAACCCGCAATTCTTATTTGAAGTTTGAACAATGGACAATTTGTTGGTTTGTAGAAGTGAGATCTTCCTCAACTTTTACATGAAAAGGGGTGTCAGAAAAACTGTTTCAGAACTTGTTATTGACAGAGGTCGGCCCGCCAAAAAACAACTGTATCGCCTTTGTCGGCCATTTTGACAACTTAATACGTCTCTGCGCTTACTAAGACTTCCTAAGAGCCGCCCGATCTTCCAAAGAAGAGTTGGAAAATTAAGAGTTACGACTCAGTTTATTTGTGTCGTGACGGCATTTCCTGATGAAAAGAAATTTTGCGAAGTCCATTTAGACTTTCGAACCTGAAGTCTCTCGAAAGTATATTAATTCGAGGTGTTAGGATGATCACAGATAAAGGCTTTCAATTGAACACGGTACCACACCGCCACACCGACGCTGTTCTACAGTTTCTTTAGAAACATACGCTCTTGACTAGAAATGGGTGTCCAGAAAAAATCACAGCAGACGGCCTGTTTGAACAACATGTGATCGACTAAAGTGTCTTAGTCACATCTGGTAAAACTAAACAACTAATAGCGAAACTCTCCATGAATCATGGAAACTTATTTCAGAATATATCAGACGAAGATATATTTTTTCAATGATATCGTCTTCAGCAAAGCTGATAATTAGTGTCGTAATCAAATTGTGCTGTTTAACTCACGAATAATTTTTCCTCACTCGCATTCTTGGCATATATTTTGCAGATCAGCAAAGTAGATTTTCACACTTTGAATGTTTCCTCAAAGCTGAATACGTGTGCGCTTTTTTGGTGCTCTTTGTGAAAAAAAGTCTGAAGGAGGGCTGATTCTGGTAAAAAAGAACATCAAGCGCTGGTGACCGCGTACATCAAGCCTTGACGTACGTGGTCACCAGCGAGTTCTTTTCCAAACAATTTCCACCCTAAAACACGCAAGATAACTTTTTCAATGTGGCAAGCGATGGTAATTCAGGCAAACCAACCTGAATTCGTTGTTGTTGTTCTTGTTTTCTTTCCTTTTTAGTTTTGAATAAGACAATCTCTCTTCAGCTCAACCTTCTTAGAGAAAGGATAATAAAATGTAAATTTGGGACGGAATCGCCGCCTTGCTTAATAAAACTGTGGGAGAAGCACCAATTTTTAAAACCAAAAACCAAAAATTATGAAATAAAACTATTACAAATACCTTCTAAATTTTAAAGCGACCTTCCGAAAACACATCTGTATGGTGAAATTGCTCGTTATGGTTGAATAGTCGAGCTGCAGCACAATATGTTGAATGATGTAAATTTTCAAATCATCTGGAGCTTAAGTGCTCCTCCAAGACAAAAATGAAATAAAACTAATTCAAACACGAAACCAATCACAGGAGAACAAAAATTAGCAAAACCCTTCTCGCCATTTAAAATCACAATAAATTAGACGGGTTTAAGAGACACGTGGTAATGATCCTATGCGCTTCACGCTTTAACCAGATGAGTAAAATCTGATTAACTTGTGGTTAAGTATATAGTCTATTGAACACGTCAACGCGTAAAAAGGGAGTCTTACGTGAATAAATATAGCACACGCTGAGAATGTCAATTTGGGCTACGTTTGTCAATTCAATACAGCAAAGACGTTGGAAAGAAACGAATTTAAGCTAAGCTTATCTCCGTCTGCGTACCTCCGTCTCCTGTCTTTTGCATTAAAAAAAAAAAAAACATATCAGTACATTATGAGTGATCTCTTTAACTCTTTAGGGTCAAAATTGAGGGATAAGACATTATCTAGATTGACGCATTGTGAATTTTCAGCTCATTTTTCGAGTAAATAATATTATGAATACTCTCTATTTAATTTCCCAGAGCGTGGGACAAATATTAAGTTGGGTTAAATTCTTAGGAGAATGGTAACCTTGGCGGTCTCCTGATTCCCTTCTCACACGTACAATTAGTTGAGGCAAGTAAGATCCCGCTTAGAATGAAAGAATAAAAGGAGATTTCTTCCTTTATGTATTGGTGCGTAAAAAAGACGAATACATGTCTGTTTCGTCTTCTTGGGTTCTTCGGCGGTTTCAGCTCTCATCATTACCTGTATTTTGAAGTTTATATTTTTGTTCCAAAGTTGGAAACTTCCTGTGCACCTTAAAAACCAATCTTTTTTTTCATCGTAACACCACTTAAGTGTAAAGCGTATGTGTAGACAGAACCTTGATTATAAAGTGCACCTGGAATAAGAAAAAAACCGCCTTTATTCCTCGTGGTTCGTTAGAAAACGATAGATTATTTTAATTTGTCGTGTAGGATACCGAGAATATGTGCTATATATATTATCTGGATTTTTTATGTAACAGTCAAAGAAATTGCAGAAAAAAGAGGCTCTGAAAACCGAGGCCTCGAAGAAGTTCGAACTTGATCATGAACTTCTCAGATTCTGTTCGAGTCCTAAATGTGAGCCGACTTTCTACGCCACAAATGTAAGAAAAACCCCTATTTGAAGTCTGTCAAAGAAAAAAGCTAAAAAAGTGATATCTTCAGTAAGGCTTAAAGAAAAGCAGGTGAATTTTGCTCCTGGTATCAACCACTCAATATTGTCAATTTAACAAGTTGGTTATATTTTTTATCGTATGTGGTGATCGTTTGGGCAAGAGTAATCCTATTATTCGTGACAGTTATAGACGCTTTGACTTATAATGACATCTACGCACGATTTTGCAAAGAACCGAAATTTTGAGGAAAGCAAAGAAATATATGTTATTTTCCGGCTAAGAGTCGGTCCGTATGATGAAAAACTGTGACCTCGGTATAGTTTTTCACCATACGGACCGACCCTCAGCCAGTAAATAACATATATATATATATATATATATTTTTTTTTTCAATTTTTTTTTGTAACTAACTTAACGAAATTCTCTCCAAAAGGACCCGAATGATTTAGGGCTGTAAATACGGCAAGATCCTCCATAAACTGAACAATTTTTGAGCGAGTAAATGGTAGTTAAAATAGAGGTGATGCAAATGAAAGAGAGATGCTTCACCGAAACATTTTCATTTGCGTAATGATAAAAGTGATTTAAAAGGCTTCCAAATAAACTTTGAAACATTATTTTTACAAGTATCTGTCACAATCTGACACCTGTCAATTAGACAGCGCGTAAGAGAAAAAAAGCGCGTGCTCACTTTTGAAAAACAACAACGAAACTGGTTTGGCAAGGACTGTCACGACAATGTTTTCTTCAAAAACAGTCAATGATCGAACG